TTCACGACACGTTTAAACGAAGCTGTTATGTGTTTACTTTGAGAGCAGTGTGTTCATTCTTGATTATGTGTGTTTCCAGGAGTGTGTGTGTGTTAGTGTGTGTTTCTGTGAGTGCGTGTGAGTGCGTGTGTGTTTCCGAGAGTGTGATTGTGTGTGTTAGTGTGTTTTCTTATTTAGACACGAGTTTTCTGGCACTTACAACACTATATATATATATATATATATATATATATATATATATATATATATAAGGATAAATACCGAAATGAGAGGCGTTACTACAAAAAAGTAACGTACAAAGGAAAGGAGAGATTCATAAGGATGATAGAAGTTTGGTAGGAAAGAAGGAGCAAACCAGACCAGAGCACTGCCAAACTACAGGCTCTTTGGTTTTGCCACAGGTCCTTCTGTCAGTGGCTGACACAAAGCAGTGGACAGCAAAGTGCATTACAATATGAATGTGTCAGGACGCAGTAAAATAAGGCGTTCGTCAGTTTTGGGGTTTACCCCCTGACTGGTACGGACTTATTGGAATTGTCTTACAGCTTAATCATTTGTCTCTATTTCGATGAAAATAATACCCCTTGATAGAACTTAACATATTTTTTATGAAAGGAGATGGGGTAAAATCCACCCAGAATTGTGTTGTTCTGTCCCCGTGGTTTTATGCACCCCGCATAATTTAGCAAAATTTGATTATTTTTTGCATAATTTCTGATTATTTTCCTTTATCATTCTTTGATAAATTAACAGAATCGCATAATTTCACATTTTTGGGCTCAGTTTGCATAATTTCAGAATTTTTATTGCATAAAACGACGGGGACAGATTGTTAAATGATGAGAAAAGATGTTATGCTAAAAAAAACAATTCGGAAAAAAATTACCCAACATCCAGAAAAATACCCGTTTCTTTAATTTCATCACTTCGATGAGCACCGCAGTGGCAAAATCAGGCACTCGTGAAAATAAAGAAATTGAAGAAAAAAACCCGTCATTTTTCCACCTGTTACTGTTAGACAATTCTTATTGATTTGTTGTTTTGTTCTTTTGCTCAACACCTTTCGATCGTAGGCAAAAAGATTATTATACCAATAACCCTGTTGCCACAGCAAATGTAAATTTGTAGTTTACGATGACACTCAAGCTTTGGAGATCCCTGAACTTTGGTGAAATTTCAGAAGCTTCTTTTGCCGCTGACACTGGGCAAACCCCACCTCCTTCAATCGCTCATAATATTATGTCTTGTTCTATAATGCACGACAGAAAGGGGTATTTTTTCATCAAAATCAAGACCAGGCATTATTTAGTTTTAAGATTATAATACCAATAACTCCATCTGTCCAAAATTGACGAGTACCTGATTCCTCCATGCCATCATATATATATATATATATATAAAAACTTTTTAAAAAGTTTTAGTAAGAGTTTTATGTCACTTGCAACACAATAAGGTCATATCAGGGCCAAAGATTAGAGGTGTTAAAAGAGAGTAACAAACACAGAAAAGAAGGTGAAGAGATCGGGATGAAACATATTTGATGGGGTAGAAGGACCAAACCACACCAGAGCACCCACCAACCACCCACTAAAACAAATTTAAATAGTGAAAACATTCATGACATAAAAAAACGAACACAGGGCACTTTGCTTTTCACGAGTTTAATACCATTGTGAACAAAATAACAATCTGGTTAGGAAAGAGATACACAAAAATTTCAACATTCTGTGAGAGAAAATCTGGATAAGTAGGTAGGCTCAGCACATGTAAGCTGTCCCCGTCGTTTTAAGCAAGAAACATTCTGAAATTATGCAAACTGAGCCAAAAAATGTGAAATTATGCGATTCTGTTAATTCTAACAAAGAATGATAAAGGAAAATAATCAGAAATTATGAAAAAAAATTATCCAATTTTGCTAAATTATGCGGGGTGCATAAAACCACAGGGACAGGTATAGTAAGAGTCTTACGGTACTTGCAACACAAATAGGTCACATGTGTCGAAGATTAGAGATGTTAAAAGAGAGTAACATACAAAAAAAAAATAATTCAGGAGGAGAGATAAAGACGACTGATGTTTGACAGGTTGGAAAAAGCAAACCACACCTGAGCACCCGCCAACCACCCACAGTGAGAGTTTTACAGCACTTGCAATACAAATAGATCATATAAGTGTCGAAGATTAGAGATCTTCAAGGAAAGTTACATACAAAGAAAAGGAGGAGGAGAGAGAAGGAGGATAGATATTTGATAGGAAAGAAGGAGAGATAAGGACGACAGATATTTGATAGGAAAGAAGGAGAGATAAGGACGACAGATATTTGATAGGAAAGAAGGAGAGATAAGGACGACAGATATTTGATAGGAAAGAAGGAGAGATAAGGTCGACAGATATTTGATAGGAAAGAAGGAGAGATAAGGACGACAGATATTTGATAGGAAAGAAGGAGAGATAAGGTCGACAGATATTTGATAGGAAAGAAGGAGAGATAAGGTCAATAGATATTTGATAGGAAAGAAGGAGAGATAAGGTCGACAGATATTTGATAGGAAAGAAGGAGAGATAAGGTCAATAGATATTTGTTAGGAAAGAAGGAGAGATAAGGACGACAGATATTTGATAGGAAAGAAGGAGAGATAAGGACGACAGATATTTGATAGGAAAGAAGGAGAGATAAGGACGACAGATATTTGATAGGAAAGAAGGAGAGATAAGGACGACAGATATTTGATAGGAAAGAAGGAGAGATAAGGTCGATAGATATTTGACTAGAAAGAAAAAGCAAACCAAACTAGAGCAGAACAGCCACCAACCACCCACATAAACATTTCAACAATCTGTGCGAGTAAATCTGAACAAGTAGGTCGTCTTTTTTTAAAAGTAGATCTAAGAGTTTTACGGCACTTGCAACACAATAAGGTCAAATAAGTGCCGCAGATTAAAGGTGTTACAAGTTACAAGAGAGTAAAAAAAAATAAATAAAGGAGATGGAGAGATATGGACGATAGATGTTTGACAAGAAAGAAAAAGCAGACCACACCAGAGCAGAACAGCCACCAACCACCCACATAAACATTTCAACAATCTGTATGAGGAAATCTGGATAAATAGGTCAAGTCACTACGAAAAAGACGGGGGGCAGGCTTCCCCACAAGACACAGTACAGGTCATTACAAACTACCAACAGCTCTGGCGATTCCTTTTTTAAGTAAAAAATGTGAGGCGAGCTGACAAATGTATGAGTTATTTCTCGCAATCCACAAATGGAGATGTTGGCCAAAACTCAACATTAGGGTCAAATTTGTAGACTTTCTGTTGATGTCATATTATTATCCTTTAACTGTAACCTGTCTTTTATTATTTCCTACTTACAAATTGTAGATATACAAATGTCACCTATAAGCGTGATGTATCTATTTCCATAGGGGTTAAATACGAGGAGTAACTCATTTTGTCAGCACGCTGCACAAATGTGTGTGTGCCCAAAGAAAGGTACCAAAAGTCGGATTTTGACCATTTTGAGTTACGGGTTGTACCTTATAGGAAATTCAATGCTGAACACAGGGGATTTTGAAGCTTTTAGATATCTCAAGCAGTTTTTGAGATATCGCACATTTTGTGAGGTAGGGTATAAAGATAGAATTTTGAGAAAATGAGCTTTTAAGTTTAACAAATGTGAGAGTGCATACAAATTTTAAATAATGATTTTTAAATATATTAGTTCATAGAAAATTCACGTCCAATTTGGCATTCAGTTGACATCGATATCATGAATGGAATTCAATGGTAAAACATAGCAGGGAAGAGAAAACATGGTTCAAGAATAGATTTTAACACGTTTTAAAAGCAATTTCCATCATTTGTTTTTATTGTACCCTACCCTCAAAGTAATTCAAAATAAAATATTTAGAAGTCAAATCAAAGAAAACCCTTTGAGCACATCGTAAAAAATATGGTGGATCTATCATTTTTTTAAAAGGAAACCCATTTCGGTCAAAAAAATGATTTTTGTCTTTACCAGCCTGTAGCTTGAAACGGTCTGGGGTGCCTTTTGGTACCTTTCTCTAAGCGCACACACAAATTTAGATGTTTTTACACAATTGAGATTGTTTAGTAATAATAATAAATAATAAATTGTATTTGCATAGCGCATATCCCAACTCGACAGCAAGCTCTATGCGCTTTACACACTAAATTATTACCCCCAGCAGACCATAGAACAGCTGATAAAGTGCTCAAACCCTAACTGACAAGATCTTTCACTGTCTATAGCTGAGTACCCATAGCAATCTGGATGAAGTGAGGAAAATTCGTGTTAAGTGACTTTCCCAAGAACACAACGTCGGGATTCGAACCCATGACCTTACTGATGCCAGTCTGAGAGTTCATCCACAAAGCCATCGACGCTTCTGACCCTGCTTGTCATGGCCAACTCGGGCTGAGAGAGGGATACAGTATCCCAGCAAAAAGACAGAGATACTTGATTAAAATTTTCTGCCCACTCAGGAATTGAACTCGTGTCTCCTGAATGCAACAATGAAGCACCTATCCACTACACCACAAACGTTGATCCTGTTATGTCTGTGGCTAGCCCAGTAAACTCACTCACTCAGACAGACACATTTCTCTGTACCAAGATAACTAGACAAGGCCGCGTAAACTCATTCATTCATTCATTCATTCATTCATTCACTCACTCACAAAATAAACAGCTCTGTATAGGTCTATATATCTCTATCCATCATCACCAGAATAGGCCAAAGTAAACTCACCAACTCACTCACTCACCAAACCAACAATATCTCTGTATATATCTCTATACCCCACCCTGATTTCTAAGCCCCCCCCCCCACCCTCAACATTCAACCCCCCCCCACCCCCCACAACATTCACTCCCCCCCCCCACCCTCAACATTCACCCCCCACCCCCACCCCACCAATAAAATTCACCCCCCACCCCACCCTCAACGTTCACCCCTCCCCCCCCCCACCCACCCCAACATTCAAACCCATCCCCCCAGCCACTGGGCCCCTCCCTACAGCAGGGTCACGAGGTTTTGGAGACATAAGCTCCCTTGGGCGGTGTCGGAGTCTCTGTGGGATCCAAACCCAGACCCTTCATCTGCACAGCCATGTCAAACAGGTAGTCGTAGCACTCACACCTGTGAAAAAAATCGACCTTTCTTTTTTTAACAAGTTTGAATGAACAGATGTTTAGTTTTAGTAAGAGTTTTACGGCATTTGCAAAACAATAAAGTCATATAAGCGCTGAAGATAAGAGGTATTACAAGAGAGTAACAAACACAAAATAGAAGGAGGGGAAATAAGGACGATAAATGTTTGATAGAAAAGAAGGAGCAAACCACACCAGAGCACCCATCAACCACCCACATGAACAGATGGGGTTTGGAAAAGACAGACAGAGCAGTTTTCAAACATATGACCACAACAAAACAAAATAACAATATCAACCACCTACAGAGAAAGGAACAGACCCCAATCTTCCGGCTACGAACAGAACATCATAATATATACAGCAACTGCAGCAAATCCGTACTTATCACTACATGGCATTGGACAGAAGGGCGAGAGACCAGCTGTTGCTGGATCGATAATAATAAAGAAATAAATAGCATTCGTATAGCCGCAGCGTATATCTCCACTCAACAGCAAACTTTATGCGCTTTACGCTATATGTGTCAGGACGGAGTGGAATCAGGCGCTCGTCAGTTTTTGGGCATGTGATGTTACTGGCATTATCTGACTGAAAGCTTTAAATTCATTTGTTCTGCTTTTAATTAAATTAATACCAATTTATCTCATATAGAAGTTGAGATATTTGCAATTGAAGGAGGTGGGATCGCCTGGTTTCAATTGTAAAATTAGCGAGAAAATGGCCGCCAAAGCTTCAATAGTTTGAGAATTCTTGAAAACTGAAAAATTACATATTATGTGACTTTATCATCAATGCTTTCCAGTAAGAGTCACTCGGAAATTAATATGTTTTTATATGAGTATAAAAGATTTTGAGCCCAAAATTTTAAAATTCGATATATAAATAGCCAAAACTGGCGGGGAAAAAGCCTATTTTTCTATTTCATTATTTTGACGAGAGCTTGATTTCACCATGATGCCTCACATAAATATTACCCCAGCAGACCCTGCATCACTCAGAAACATTCTCGGCTTCAACAGCATTAATTTTATATGTTTTTTATCATTACTATCATTATTATCATTACTATTATTATTATTATTAACATTATCACTATTATTGTTTTTATTATTATTATTATTATTATTACTATTATTATTATTATCATTATTATTATAATTATTACTATTATCATTATTATTAATATCATTGTAATTACTATTATTATCACTATCATTATTATTATCATCATCATTATCATTACTACTACAACAAGCACCACAAAAGAGAAAGACGAGCCCCCACCACCCCACCCCCCCTCACATTGTCTTGGCCTTCTGCCAGGTGTCGCCCCAGACGTAGACCCCGTGTCTGCGAACCAGTACGGCGCACGTGTCCGGGTAGTCTTGCATGGCTCGAAACATCTCCTCCTGCCGAGAATACATGGGGAAAAAAACAAACAAAACCATAGAATAGAATTAGAATGTACGGTAGTCGAAATTGTCGAAGATGGCCACCCGTTGGCGAGGAGAACAGTGGCTGGTTGTCTTAGACAGGTGGGGGGTCTAGGGCAGTGTCGTTAAATTATTGAAAAAAACATTATAATAAAGAAAAAAATCCATCATGATATTGAAAAAAAATACCAACTTTATAATATAAATATAAACATCATAATATTGAAAACCCCATCAAAATATATTTTTAAAAACATCATATTGAAAAAAACATTATAATATAGATTTTTTAAAACATCATAATATTGAGGGAAAAAACATATTATAATAAAGAAAAAAATCCATCATAAAATGGGGGGAAAAAACTTTATAATATAAATAAAAACATCATAACATTGAAAACAAATACTATAATAAAGAATGAAATATAATATTTTTAAAAAACATTATAATATATTTTTTACAAACATCATAATGAAAAAAAAAACATTTTAATAAAGAAAAAAACAACTTTAAAAGATAATTAAAAACATCATTATATTGAAAACAAATAATATTATAACAAAGAATAAAATATAATATTGAAAAAACCAAGACCAGATGACAAGGACATGTGGTTTCTCAAGGGAGGCATTGCGCTGCCAAGAGCGAAATGCTCGCAGCTAAAGAGAATAGAAAACAACAACGACAACAACAGCAGCAACAACAACAACGACCAAAGTGACTCACCTTCAGGTCCTCTTCAAACGGCGTGTTCTCGATGATCGGTACCACCAGCTCCTCGTCGTATCTGTAGTTCTGACCTAAAAAACAAAAATTGTTGTCAGCTGAGTACTAAGCACAAAAAAGGAGGAAAGATAAGGATGACAGATGTTTGATAGCAAAGAAGAAGCAAACAACATCCAACACGCACAGACGGACAGTTGTTAACCTTTCAGTGAATTTTAGTTTTAGTAAGGTTTTACAGACAGCGCTCGCAACTGTATAAGATCATATGAGCGCCAAGGGACGGATGTCAACCGAGAAGTCCTTACAGGGAATCAGACTTACTCTGCTCACCTCTCTAGCTTCAACAGCACAAAGTCTGCTTCCACTATCAAGGCACCCCGGAAATAGCGGATCACAAGAGAGTGACAAACGTACAAAAGAAGTAGAGGAAAATGACGATAGTAAGGATTAGGAAAGAAAAAGCAGTAGTTCTCTATTGCAGTTCAGGCACAATTATAAGCATGACATAGATGAATCAGCCCATTTACAAATACAATTCTACTGTGCATGAACGAGAAATGTTCCCCCTTTGGGAATGGCCTAAAGACACTTCAGTCAGTAGCACTGCCCTGGAGGGTGTAATGTCATGATTATTATTATTTGAGAAATCGACTCCACATCCTAGATTTATCGTTCTTGCCTCGTGCACTCCAAGAACAGGTTGTTGTGATTGAGTGGTACACCTTGTATCATGTTGTATTATGTACGTGGTGGTCTTGATGATTCCTGACTGCTAGTAGCACTTGGAAGAATAGGCATACTGTTTATTACAATTTTTTTGCTTCAATAAATTTGTCTTTGGCAACTGATTTTGAAATCAGCATGACATAGATTTATGCATAAACTATCATTATTTTTAATGTAGGTGTTTCTATGTCCCCATCGACACAATTTAGATCTTTTAGGCGGCGGGCTTCTGACCCTGCCTGAAAGTGTCCGGGTCAACCCAGGTAGAGAGGGATACATACAACATCCCAGCAGATAGACCCAACTACTCAAATAAAAATCATCCCCACTCGGGAATCGTACTCGGGTCTCCTGCATGCTACAGCGAAGAACCTAACTGCTACACCACAGACAAGAGTGTGGTTCTTATTTGATAGTTTGTTTTAGTAGAGGTTTTACGGCGCTCGCAACTGCATAAGGTCATATGAGCGCCAAGGGGGGAGATGTCAACAGAGAGGTCTTTACAGGGAATCAGACTTACTCTGCTCACCTCTCTAGCTTCAACAGCACAAAGTCTGTTTCAACTATCAAGGCACCCCGGAAATAGCGGGTCACAAGAGTGTGACAAACATACAAAAGAAGTAGAGGAAAATGACGATAGTAAGGAT